CCCTGGACTTTTTTGGACCGGGGGGCCGGGAGGAGCTCTGCAGCTTACCTGGCTGCTTCTTGCTCTGACTGAGGGCTGCTGGGAGCAGGGGGTGGGGCTTGTTGCATGTGCCTGCCCCCTGGGCTCTTTACTGCCAGAGCTCCGCTCCTGTGCGCTCCTGCAGGAAATGACCCCTGATAGGTACTATAACAGTGTTTTTCGTATTCCTAACTGGGATGGCTGGAAAATATTAAAAGTGTGCCCCACTGCAAGTTTATAAGTGAAGTGGGAGATCCTAAGCTACATTTATGGGCAAAAGGGTCATCCAGGGACTAAGACTTCTTGAAGACTGATAAATCCCAAACACAAGGCCGAGGGGGTGGGGGGTAGAGTGACTGTCTTCATTCACGTTTCCCAATTGCCCATCACTTCAGAAATAACACCAGTGTTTTGGATACTGGCGGAATCATTGCTGTCCTAATGCAGTAGAAAAGAGCAAGAGTCCAGTAGCCCCTTAAAGACCTTAACAAAATTCCTGGCAGGGTATGATCTTCCATGAGGCACTGCTGACAAAAGCTCATACCCTGCCAGAAGTTTTGTTTGTCTTTAAGGGGCTACTGGACTCTTACTCTTTTCTACCGCTAAAGGTAAAAGGTAAAGGTTCCCTTGCTTGAAAGCCAGTCGAATCCGACTCTAGGCTTGCGGTGCTCATTTCAGTTTCCAAGCCAAAGAGCCAGCGCTGTCCGAAGATGTTTCCGTGGTCATGTGGCCGGCATGACTAAACACCAAGGGGCACGGAACGCTGTTACCTTCCCACTGAAGTGGTACCTATTTATCTACTTGCAATTTCTTGCTTTCGAACTGCTAGGTTGGCAGGAGCTGGAACTAGAGACGGGAGCTCACTCCATCATGCGGCACCCGGGTCTCGAACTGCTGAACTACTGACCTTCCACAGCCTGCAGTTTAGCGTCTTAACCACTTGAGCCACCACAGCTTCTACAGACAGACTAACATGGCTACTTGAGTTCTTGTAAAGTTCCAGTTTGCGGAACAAGAAGGGACACCCCCCCCCCCAAAGACATCTCTACAGATTGGTAACAGTTCATATTCCAGCAAAGAGATGTGGCCATCTAGTGAGATAAAATGGTATTGCTCCTATTTTGGCCTGACTTGATCTGTAAGTGATACAAGTCATGAATTGATTCAGTTTTTGTCTATTGAAGACGTTTCTACTCAGCCTGTCCGCAGAGGACTCAAGGCAGATGAGATAGAAGTCTTCTTCACAGTTGCCGAAGAGGGAATTTTGTCAGGTTCCTCTTTTCTCATCTCTGGAGTATGGTATCATAACAGGCTGCAATAATGTGCCTCCAATATGGAGCTTAAACACCCTTCTTCCTCCCCATCTGTATTTTCCTCCTCCACAGCTCCTTTTTGCAGCTAAACTAAATGTTAGAACATCTGATCACAGATTCATCAGCATCCGGTGTCATTAGAAAAGCTGGGAAGATTCTGATCACGAATTGGCACGGATATGACTGGTCACTGTGCTACTCTTGTACCTTTGCACAGAAATGTCACACTCTACACCTCTTTATTTTGGCGGATGTTTGGCTCTGTTGTTTTCAGTTTCTTTGTTTATGCTCATACATGTACAGCCGCCAAGTGATACCATACCTCATGCATCTAATGTAGACTCCATTCCACAGAAAATGTACGCTGCAGTGAATCTGTTAGTCTTTAGAGTGTCAGAAATCACTTTTTTCCCCCTCTCAGTGCATGGCACCCATGTCGTCAGAAATCACTTTTTTGTTAAAGGATGTGGACATTTCCCCCTCTCCTTTCCCCCTCTCAGTGCATGGCACCCATGTGCAATCAATGCTTTGGAGCAGGATTTTGGTCTTGCCCCTGGAACGGCTGATGAAGTCTTCTCGACTGGCCCCTGTTCACAAAATATCTGCTGCAGCTTATTTTCAGTCACACAGTGAAGATCCTTATGCTGTAGTGGCAACTTCTGTCAAACCAGTGGTTTAAAAAACCTGCACAGCCAATCAAATCTATAGTGGCCAATCAGAAGCCTTGCTGGGCAAAAGCCCCACTTGATCCCACCCACTTTCTAAAAACACTTGGTGGGCACCAGGAAAGATGTCAGCAGGTGCCACCGTGCCCACAGGCACCACACTGGGGACCCCCGGGTACTGGTGCTCACAATTCCTGAGTTGCAGACTGCAAAACATTCAAGCTGGCTGCTGATACCTTTTCCCAAGATTGTGGCCTGCTTCTGTAACACTGTCTCCCTCTCTTTCAGATCCAGAAGATGTTGAGTGCAGCCCTCCTCTTCACCATGTAAGTCTCAGCATCTCTGTTTTTCCTTAACACTGAACAGAAGTTTCTTCTTCTTTACTTGGTAGAGAGGTGTCCTTCTTCAGAAGAGAGAGAATCAAGCTCCCTCCCCCAGTAGTTTATGCACTATGGACTAGTACCTTACACACTTCTTGAAATCTTGCACCTTCCCCGTCCCAGTTCTGCAAGGGGTTTTCCCTGACTCATTCAGGTACCGGGATCCATTCCATCTCATCTGTGCTTTTCCCCCTTCGCTGCCCCCACTGTGTTGACCAAAAGCCAGAACTGTATTGGGCAAGGTGAGATGAGAGATGGCACTCTCATACCCTCCTACTCACCCTCTGCACCCCCTTTACCCAGGGGGCTGGTGGGAACAGAAATTTCTGGTCATCTTAGACAATGTAGTGTATTGCTTAATATATTGATTTTTTAGTAGTTTTTAATGTTATTTAATGGATTATTATTGTGTTGGTTTTGATGCAAGCCCCCCCCGAGCCATGCTTGCAGGGAAGGGCAGCCTAACAAGTTGAACTTAATAATAAATAAATAAGGAAAGAACAGAAGTGGAGACAGATGTTTTGTGCTATACGCCACTTTGAAGTTTTCTGACAAGGCAGGATATAAGTTTCGCAAGGATGAGTGGATTCTCCCAGCTTCATTCCATTTGGGATGTAATCTCTGTTGACTCGTGTGGTTTCGATTCAGCGATCCCTGTCAAATTTTGAGGAACTTCGTAGAGCAGAACTCAAGAAGGAAAGAGAGAATGGTCAGAAACAGACACACAGCTCAGTTCCTCATTGTACCCACAGAGACCGCAGGCACGGGGGGTGGGATTAAAGTGGTTTAGTGTAATGGGCTAGAGTGCTGGACTACAACTGGGGCGCCCCGGGTTTAAATCCCCACTCAGCCGTGAAACATACTGGGTCACTTTGGGCCAGTCTCTCTCTCAGCTTCGCCTACCTCACAGGGAGGAGAAATGCAGAGAACCATGCACACCCCCAGAGAGCAAGTGCAGGACAAAATGTGTAAATAGGTAGACAGACATGGGATCCTGGGATTCAGTGGTTGCTGGAAAACCACACTAAGTGTTTAGTAAGGTTCTTGATATCTACCCAGTGTAGATACTAAGGGAAAATTTGTTTTCGTTCCCTATGTTGTCATTGCCATGATTTATGGATAATCGGAAAAGTATCATGCCTCATTATGGTTCTGCCGTGTGCTGTCAGGAGATTCTTCAATGTGATAATATATTTAATACACTTGAAAAATCTTTATCTACTGATTCTCTAATAATGTGATACTAAAAAAACCCTCACATTTGCTGTCCACAGAAGATACTGAAGAGCCTTATTAGTAAATGGCTTGTTTTATTGGCATTATCCTGGGGTTTTTTAGTGATTGTGCTTTAATGGTGTTGGCCTATTTTTTAAAATGATGGTGTTTTGACGGCTTTTGTTTGTCGGTTACCTCGAGCAGGTCTCTGATGAGGTGGCATATACATTTTCTAAAAAACAAACAAATAAATATTTGGGTGTGATTTTCTGATGATTCCCTAAACCTCAAGATCCCAGAAGTACACACCCATGATACATTAAAATAAAAATGTACCAAATGTCCACAGTCTCCGAGAATACCAGGATTGCCATCGATAGCATGCATGAAAAGGACTGAGAGGGCCTGGCCTGGGTTGCAGATTTATTCCCATGATATGGATGGTTTGTTTGTGACACTGTAGATACACCGTAGAACATTTTTCTTTCGTGATATGTGAGATTGTATGTATGGGATGGGATGATATGTGTGTGGGGATCCCATCTTACAAGTTTACACGGGGCCCAGTGTAACGATGCTTGAACCTTGAGGATAATCACTGGATGTGAGTGAGAGAGAGAGAAGTCGTGACTGAGAAAGGATGGTCAGAACCATAAATGGTTGCAGTAGAACCACTGGGTGCCTCCCAGAGTTCTGCAGGAGTGGAGGTGGGTCTATTTCTCAAGGTGCCTGAATCCAGACTTCTGAGACGTTTGGTTCTCTGACAGGCCAGTTCAGAGGAGAAAGGCCTTGAGGCAGAACATTCCATCAGTGACGGGAGCCTGAACGCGTCCAACCACAGCAGAGAAAACATCATGGTTGCGGTAGAAAGCACAAAAGAATCAACAGAGGGACCGGAAGCCATCAGTTTCATTGGCGCACTCCGGATACCTGTAAGTACAGCCCCATAGTGTCCTTGCCTCTGTGTTCCGGAGAGCCAATGTGGTTTGGTGGTTAAGAGCAGCAGACTGTAATCTGGAGAACTGGGCTTGATTCCCCACTCCTCCACGTGAAGCCTGTTGGGTGACCTTGGGCCAGTCACACTCCTCTCAGAACTCTCTCAGCCCCACCTACCTCACCAGGTGACTGTTGGAATGTGATTGTAAGCCGCCTTGAGATGCCTTAAGGTAGAGAAAAGTGGGGTATAAAAACATACCCCTCTTCTTCTTCCATGTCTCCATTCCTGTTTCTCTTTCTTTTTTTAAGCAGCCTTGGAAAACTGAGATTGGGAGTAGACCAGTAGGGGAGGGGGGATGGAGAAGGGTTGTTCAGCCCCACCCCCCTCCTGGCGTATCTTTTTTCCTGTTTGGAGAAAAGCGGCTGGGATTGCTTGTTTAAAGGTAAGCAGGGAAACAGTTAAACAGCCCCTTCTACCCATCGCTGTTCTGCTGCCAATCACAGCCTTTCCAAGCCTTGTTTTTCATGAATAAAAATCCATTGTGGAAAGGAATTGGTGTTCCACGTGCCACCTCTAGCATTGCCCTCAGTAGTCTATTTCTGTTGCTGGCAGTGACGGGAAGGCCGAATGTGGACCAGAATGTGGTGCTGGACGGGGTAAATTACCCCCCTTGCTGTTCCCTACTTGGAAACGGGCCTCCCTCTTCCACATAGGGAAGAAAGACAAACAATCCTGAGGGACAGTATTGTCTGAAGAAAGAGCACACAGGAGAAGAACTATACCCCCAAGAGCACTTCGGTCGGGGACACAACAGTGCCTGGTGATTCCAGGCCCCCAGGAGGCAAAGCTTGCTGCAACCAGGGCCAGATCCTTCTCAGTGGCGGCCCCCACCTGGTGGAACGAGCTCCCGGAGGAGATCAGGGCCCTGCGGGACCTTATGCAGTTCCTCAGGGCCTGCAAGACGGAGCTCTTCCGCCAGGCTTTTATATAGGGGCCACCACCACCACTACTACTACCACCACTGAAACAACGGGGTTGGGAGCGGTCCCCGGAAGAACTGCCACAATTTTGCATGGCACTGATGCTGCTGGACTGGCTTTGGACTATCGACAGGACAATATCACCCTAATGAAATGATCGATACCATCTTCAGAGACAATGGAGCACTTTGTTTTTGTTGTGATTTAATAGTTTTCACTGTTTTATACGTTTTTTATGTATGGGCTTGTGCTCCCGTGTAAGCCGCCCTGAGCCCGTTCGTGGGGAGGGCGGGGTAAAAATGCTATAAATAAATAAATAATAAATAACCCCTCCTGCAACTCATCCTGTTCCAAATTCTACCCCCCCCCGAGATATTTTTTAGGTTCAAAAAGACACAAAAGAGTTCCAAACATGGAATTCTGTTGTCGTGAGCAATTTAATCAGAAGTCAGTCCCACGGTGCCTCACGGGGATTCCTTCTTGGCAAGGGGTATGTAGGATCTCAGCCTTAGCCCCCCAAATCACAGTTTTGCTTTACATGCCACCTAGTTTGTCATGCAATAGAATAGTTTATTCCGTATAAATTGTGAGGCTACTGGAATCCCCCCTTTTCACCTGAAATCGTTTATGTTACTTTTCAATAAAGATATACGGTGTATGATGACCTGGGTTCTTTCAGGGCCGTTCTCTCACGAGCAGTTCTCAAAGAGCTCTTTCAGCCCCACCTCCCTCACAGGGTGTCTATTGTGGGGAAGGAAAAGGGATTGTAAGCCACTCTGAGACTCCTTCGGGTAGTAAAGGATTGGGGTATACATCCAATCTCTTCTTCTTCCTTTCCCCATCTCTTTCTCTCATCTTGCCTTTGCAGGGAGTGGTGGAGTTCTCATTTTGCCTTCTGTTTGCGAAGCTGGTCAGCTACACTTTCCTCTACTGGCTGCCTCTTTACATTGTGAATGTTGGTGAGTCGCTCGAGCACGTCAAGATCCCAATTTGTGATTTCAGGAGGCTTTTCTTCACCAACCCAGGTGGTCACCTCAGTCTCTGTGCTTCCCCAAAGGCCAGACCCCAACTCCAGCTGTTGTGTAAATCCCTGCTCCCGAGAAGTCTGTAGTCAGTCTCAAGCCCCTGATGCTGGAAATGGAGCAGGCCAGTTGACAGCCCTAGGCTCACAGAACCATCTACTGAAATTAAATTTTTAGGAGCATTAGTTGTGGAAAAGCAGAGTCACAACCTACCTCCATTGGCTGAGGCTTACACATTTGAGAGATTTCCCAATTTGACTGGATCCGCTTAGCTTTCTCTCTTCCAGTTTGGTGTTGGGCCAGTCAGTCCTCTCAGAGCTCTCTCAGCCCCACCTACCTCACAGGGTGCCTGTTGTGGGGAGAGGAAGGGAAGGAGATTATAAGCCACTTTGAGACTCCTCAGGGTAGTGAAGGGCAGGATATAAAACCAACTCTTCTTCTTCCTTTGCAGCTCATTTCAGTGCAAAGAAGGCTGGAGACATGTCCACTCTCTTCGACGTCGGCGGCATCATCGGTAGGTCGTACCGATTTTCACTCACCCTCTTCCCATGTTTCTGTATCAGACTCTGGGAAAGTGACGGCGCTCTTATAGCTCCCGAGGCTGTTGGGGGACTATTTGAACTGGTAGGCAACTCTGGAGTCAGGCAGGCATCTCCTTGGGCTGGGTTCAAACCAGTATTCCCTCTAAGCTGAGTTAGTGTGAGCTAGCTCACAGTTTTTTAGCCTCCGGCTCACACATTTTTGTCTCCGCTCAGGAAGGATGGCTCCAGAGCAAACTAATTTATGCAATAGCCACACTGCTTGCTCACAACTTTAATGCCAGCAGCTCACAGAGTAGAATTGTTGCTCACAAGACTCCACAACTTAGAGGGATCATTGGTTCAAACCCGAAACACATCCGACCCCTTTTCTCTGATTCCAGCCTTGGGAGTCATTTAAAAACAACAACAAAACCCCTCCCATTATGCACGGATGGAGAACATGGTTCTGCTGCTCTGCCTTTTGCATGTGGAAGTCTTCTTGTGCTCTGACTGTGCATACCATCGTGAATCTATAGAGTCCAGATATGGGCGTAAAGAAGGGCCAAGCATCGTTTCCCTGTGCCGGCCACAAACCTTGTAACACACGTGTGTGTGCCGATCCTGTCTCTTGTATACAACCTCCCAAGTCGTGAATGCCCATTTCATTTTTTGAATGTACCATATCATGGTAGTGGGCTTGCAGGTGCACCCACTCTCACTGCCATGCCTGGGCTCTGCCTCTGCCAATGTCAGCGTCACAAGTGGGGGCCCCCACACAGCACTACAGTGGATGAATACCAGAGGCAGTCCAAACTGTTGTATTTATGCCGGCTTGAAATGTAGTGCAGGATGTCCTTTCTGCTGGGAGTTTCAGAACCGGATCACTGCCTCCAGGACCACAGCATCACAGTGGAATGGAGAAAAGAATTAAATTCATGATCAGCAGAAATGTCAGGGCCAGTGTTCCCTCTAAGCTGAGTTAGTGTGAGCTAGCTCACAGTTTTTTAGACTCCGGCTCGTACGTTTTTGTCTTAGCTCAGGAAGGACGGCTCCAGAGCCAACTAATTTATGCAGTAGCCAAATCGCTCGCTCACAACTTTAATGCCCGTAGCTCACAAAGTAGAATTTTTGCTCACAAGACTCCACAGCTTAGAGGGAACATTGGTCAGGGCTAGCAAAAGGAAGGCATAACTAAAACAGCTGGGATTCACTGCAAGCTGGGGAGACGGCTGCTTAACTGAGATGTCACTGAAAATGGATTTCTCGTCGGTCGTTGTTAGTTAAACGGAACCTCCATGTTCATAAGCAGTCTACCTTTGTTGCTTCTGGTTGTTCCTTACAGCAGGCAAGAAACAACAAGAAATGGCCATCTCCATTGGGTTGGCTTGCAAACTACCTGGAGCATCTGACTGTCCACTGCTGGAAACAGATTGCTAGGTTCCACTGAGTTTGTTAGGTTCTCAACTCTTCCCAGGCTTTGGAATGTGAATTATGCTTTTTCCACACAGGTGGCATCCTTGCGGGTCTTATCTCTGACTACACTGGCGGTAGGGCCACCACATGCTGTGTGATGCTCATTTTGGCAGCCCCCATGGTGAGTATCCTCATAATTTCACAAGATGTGGACTCTTTTATTTCCTCTTTGTATTCTGACAGCTCTTATTTGTGATCCATAGGATTAGCCTATTAATCAATTAAATGTCCATGAATTAGCACTGGAGGGGGGGGGGAAAGAGCCAAGAATAATAAAGGGGAAAAGATATTTCTTTTCTTTTCAGTGATGCACAGAAAGGTCCCAGCAGTCATCTTCTTTAAAAAAAAAATCCCTTAGAAGAGGCATTCCTTCGCGAAGAAGGAAATGGCTCTTCTATGGTTTTTTAACAAATAGTTGCATTCAAAATTATTATTTGAGAATTTCTGCCCAATTGACCACTTAGCTAAGGGGTGTAGATACCACAAGCTGAGCTGATTTCACAGACCTCAGAGCCCCTTTAAGCTAGACTTGAAGAAACAGCCACTTGTTTAATTGGCGAGTGAGAATTGCATCTAGATGACCGAGCAAGGAAATATCTGTGCAGTGGAAGTGTGTGTGTCCTATTCCCCATGATCACCCGGAGATGATGTTATCGCGCCAGGCACCTTGCGGGGAGGACACTCTATCATTCGAGGGAAAACTCTAGCTGCTAGTGCCTCTCCTCAAAACAAAACAAAAAAACTTCCCAAGTTTCAAAAAGATTGGACCAGGGGATCCAATTCTATGGGCCTCTGAAGAAGGTGCCCCCCCCTCCATTGTTCCCAATGGAGTAGAAAAATGCCTTCTCAGTTCACTTGTGGGCTGAAGCAAAAATCCCTGCACTGCAGGCTAACATTTTGTGTGTCAGCGCCCCCTAGTGCACTTTAGGGGGAACTTTGATTGCAACTGGTCTCCCGGTTACAGAGATCAGTCCTCCTGGAGAAAATGGCTGCTTTAGAAAGTGGACTCTGTGGCATTGCAGCCTGCTGAAGTCCCTCCCCTCCCCAGACTCCACCCCCAAGAGCTCCAGGAATTTCCTTACCCAGAGCTGGCAACCCTCCTTCCAGTGTTCATATGAGACTCTGAGCTATCTGGTGGGGCTAAGCAGGTCCTGGCAGCTTTACCACAAGCATGATCCTCTTACCCTGCCTTGAGCCAAAAATGAACAGACTGAGAATTTTTCACAGTTCCCAGCTATGTATTGTTCCTTTAGGACAGTCAATGAACTTTACAGAGTACAAAAGAGGCAAGTCAGTGCTCCAACCAGCTTATGAATCCAAGAAAGACATTTCTGTCTAAACCAAGACAGAGTAGCCAATAAAATCAGAAGTCTTTTCAGTTCTGTTGGCAACCTGGTGGATAAGAGCCAGCTGTATTGTGCTGAAAATCTCTTTGGTCTTTTCCAAGACTCAGATATTTGGATGCTGTTTTTCTTCTCTAAAAAACCAAGCCTAGCTCACAATTGCTAGGAATGGAGGGATCCGAGTCAGGCTCAAATGCCAACAGCTGAGGTCTTGGAAAGGGCAAAAAAACCCTAATGCAGCTGGATTGCCTCTCAGTCTCTCTTCCTATCCGTCTTCTCTCCTTGTCTTCTTCCATGGGAGTGTACCGGACTTGGTACTGGGAAAATACTTTCCCCAGCAAGATCAGAGCATCCCAGGTAGGAAATGGTGAGCTGAGTAGACACAAAGCAGGAAAATGCCAACTTTCCTAGCAAGATTCTGTATTCTTCTCTGTTTACTCCTATCCTTGCTCAGCTATGGCAGCCAGACCTTTTAAGAGGAGAGCATATTAAGGATTCCTTCTGCAGGGGAGGAGATAATCAGTTACATGTTTGTTTGGCTTTTTACCATTAAAAAAAATCAGCGATTTCCCACTGCTCTACCTACAGAGGCTGTCGTGTTGCAGTGAAGCCAGGCATTGAAGAGGGCTGTATTTTGACTAGCTGTTTAGCCTTGCCAAATATGTGTGTGTGTGTGTGTGTATAAAACCTGACCTGAATGGAACATTCTACTCTCCCTGCATTTCTCAACCTCTGCACTCCACCCTAGTCTTGCTGTATGCCTACTTTTCCTAGAAAGTTTTCATCCCTCACTGCTAGTCATAGAAACAGCTTTAAATTTTATGCAGAGAAATTCTGGCCTCTTCTGGTTAGCAGTGCAGCAGTGGAACAGCCACAATGATGTAAATTCAGGCTTTGGATGGCCTCTCTCGTGATCTGACTGGAATGTACTTTGGCAAGATGTTTCACACGTCCCTTGGAGAGCTAAAGCCCATGCGCTCTTTCCGTCTCTGAGAGATGCTTGCAAATATCTTCCCCCGGACCAATGAAACAGGCGTGGTTCTTCTCTTTGAAATGCCAAACAAACTGCATGGCCCACTACCCAGCTTACAGCTTCCGCTCCATCCAGTGCTGATTGCCATTTCTGGTGCTAAATTGAATCCACTTGGCCACTTTCCTTGCCAATGCCTGGAGCAGTTGGCCTGGCACCGTAAAACTCTGCATGTGAGGGGAGCAACACCCCTCTCTGTTTCCTTGGAGAGCCATAGCCAATGGCCGCTTTCGATTCAGGATCAGAGGCTGTGCAGCTGTAGTCTTTTACTTACCTCTGTGGTTTAAAAGGGAGTTCCCCTAGATTACTAAGAGACTGGGCTGTGATTCAGAAGGACATTAGTTCCAATCTCATATGAGTCGCAGACTCATGAGGTAGCCTTAGGCAAGCCAGTCTCCTGTACAGTATGTGGATAAATAGTGACCTTGCGTACAGGGCTGTTGTAAGGATTACACTGAGATAATGGATGTGAAGTGCTTTGAGTTCTGAAAGCCCTGAATAAGCGCTAAGTATTATTCCCAGGGGGGAAAGGCCAGCCCTGCATATCTGCCTCTTTAAGGACACTTCCCACGCTTCCTGCTAGGGTTGCCAGGTCCTGGTTAGGAAAGTCCAGGAGATTTGGGAGTGGATTCTGGGGACTACAGGAACCTCAGTGGGTAAAATGCCATAGAGTCCAATCCTTCAAAGCATCCATTTTCTCCAGGGGGACTGATCTCTGTAGCCTGGTGATGAGCTATAATTCCAGGGGATCCCCAGGCCACACTTGGAGGCTGGCATACCTACCTCCTGCTCTCTGCCACCATAGACCAGGAAGCTGCTGTGTGGATATCCCCTGAGACCTCCTAATACTGGGGAAGGATCCTTTTTGAGTAATAGGGGCTGGGAAAGGGATCCTCTGGTCCGGAGGGGAGGGTAAGCCAGTGGGACAGTTCCCCTGAATTCCAGCAACATTGGTATAGATTCAAGTACCATGAAGTGCAGGCAGAGGGTGAATGGAATTATTCAGATGTGGAAATTCTTACCCAGCTTTCTCTTCCAGTTATATCTGTACAACTACATTGGCCAAAATGGACTTGCTACATCAGTAGGTAAGGCTGCATCACTTTCCAGAATTTTCTGCCATCCAGCCATGCATGTTGACTTCCCAAGAGGAAGTCTTGGAGCACTCTTGTTTCTTTCTGCCTTTGCTTTTGTGGTTGAACATGTGGGTTGAATTTTCCCTCAGAGGAACCTAGAGCCAGTGGGCTTGCACTGAGCAACTGCTTCCAAATATTTATGTATCTTAATTTTTAGCACTTTCCCCCCTGTACCATGTTACTCAAAGTGACTTTAAACTCACAGACAATAAGACTATAATCACTCAAAATCCTGATACATCGAAAGAGCGTACACCCTTATTGTTATGAAGCTAAAAAAATGGGGGGAAATACAATGCCAGCAAAAACATCTACGGAAATAAAAAATTTAAAGGTGTGGATTGGCATGCTAAGGAGGTAGTAACCAAACAAACAATACACTAACCTCACAAATTTGGCAAGGTGAAATCACCCTGTGGCTGCCTTATAAATATGACCCAAAACTTAGTAACTGGCACATGAGGAGAAGGGTTCAAAATGGCAACCTGGGCAGACACTAAAACTCTACACTCTATCAGCTGCTGAGGCTTCCAAATAATATTTTCACTCCTACAGCCTGTACCAGCACACACAATGTACATTGAACCCCACCTCCGCTTTGTGTGTGGCCTATGAGGTAAAGTGCCTTGTCTTTCAAGTGTGGATGAGGAGGAGAAAACCGGCACACACAATGTTCACTGAACCCCAGCTCAGCTTTGTGCATGGCCTGTGAAGCGGAGTGCCTTGTCTTTCAGGTCTGGATGAGGAGAAAACTGGCACACACAATGTACACTGAACCCCAGCTCAGCTTTGTGTGTGGCCTGTGAGGCAGAGTGCCTTGTCTTTCAGGTCTGAATGAGGAGAAAACCGGTACACACAATGTACACTGCACCCCACCTCAGCTTTGTGTGTGGCCTATGAGGTATTAGAATGCCTTGTCTTTCAGGTGTGGATGATGATGAGAAAACCAGCACACACAATGTACACTGAAACCCACCTCAGCTTTGTAAGAACATAAGAACATAAGAGATGCCAATGTTGGATCAGGCCAAAGGCCCATCCCGTCCAACACTCTGTATCACACAGTGGCCAGAAATACCAAGTGCCATCAGGAGGTCCACCAGTGGGGCCAGGACATTAGAAGCCCTCCCACTGTTGACCCCCCCAAGCACCAAGATGACAGAGCATCACTTGCCCCAGAGCCCCTATCTATACCTTGTGGCTAATAGCCACTAATGGACCTCTGCTCCATATGCTTATCTAATTCCCTTTTGAAGCCCATTTGTGTGTGGCCTATGAGGTAGAGTGCCTTGTCTTTCTTCACTTGGGCCTCAGCATACAGGCATCTAGATCCCCCTCCTCTGTCTCCTCATGTCTCCACTCCTTTGGTGACTTAAGGGGGCATGAGGGAGTCTCCCTTGGCCTTTGAGATCTAACTACTTTCCCGCTAGTGTTTCCATTTGCCCAGTGGGGATGGGGGATCCCCTGATTTTGCAGGCTCCTGCCCGCTGCTGGCCAGCTGGCTGGTGAGAGGGAATCCCCCCCCCCAAACAGCAATGTTGCATGTGACGTGTCTCTGTCACCTGGAAGTGAAATCGGCATGTTGGGTGTGTGTGACACTCTGGCTTTTCGACAAAACTCTGTGGTTTGGTGCAGATTTTACCATAGAGTTTTGATCAAAATCCAGAGCGTCACCCCTGATGTCACTAACGGTCCGACATCACTTCCAGGTGACACAGGCATGTTGCATGTGATGTCACTGTTTCAGGGGGAATGGGGGCGACGTCACTTCCCACTCCCAGAATGACCCCCCATCCCCCTGCCGGCGGGTGAAAGGGACCTGGCAACCCTACTTCCTGCAGGGGTCGCAGTTCCCATTCTCTCCTTTAGCCAAGAAATGCACCCTTGTGCCTTGGCGGTGTGGCTGCAACTCTCACTGTCCTTTCTTGGCAGTTCTAACATCAGCTTCCCTGTTGCCGTGGCACTGGCAGCAGCCCTCTTGGTACCTGTGTGGGGGACCACTTCTCAAACCTTGGTAGCCAACTCCGCTTAGCAGCAGGGACTCACAGTTTGTCCTCCACAGCTAAAGAGATCCTTCGCCTTTGTGCTGTTAATCCGATGGTGGGAAGACAAGACTAGGATCTCCAGTGTTCTGAACCACAGGCTCCTACTGGAGGATGTAATCCTTGCATTGTATCACTGATGTTTTCTCCTTTGCTTTGCAGTGATGTTAATTATCTGTGGAGGCCTGGTCAATGGGCCTTATGCTCTCATTACGACAGCAGTGTCAGCTGACTTGGTAAGACTCTCACTGTGCCTTCCAATTCTCTCCCCCCCCCCCCAAGCATGTACTGAGAAACATTAATTTTTGAGGTTTCGTGCTTGCCACCTGACTTGACAACATTCAGTATCAGCAGTGGTTTGACCCAGTATATGGGGCTGCCTCATATATTCACACATTTGCATATTAAACACACTCCTCCTGCAACTTGGACCACTTTGTAACTCTCTTTCCTGAACTTGACCTAATTCCTAGAACAGGATTGCACACAGCACAGTGGCTTGCTTCTTTGGGCAAGGGTAGGAAATTCTTTCCACAGAACGTAAACATGACACCTTGGCTGAGAGATCCTCAGAAGGAAGAGAACTCTTGGCTGGAACTTGGCATTCCAAACTCTGAAAGGCTTTCAAGTGACCTGGCACAAAGCAGTTATACATCCACCAGGTATTCTGGAATGGTTTTCTGGCTGAAAAATTCTCCCTGAGGCAAATCCTCCTTCGTGGCAACTGTTTATGTACAAAAATCTTTAGTCAGGACTAGGCCAAAGTGGAAAAGTTTCTGGCTTGGTACTTCTTTGTGTCAAGCATTGCAAATGTCACTAGGGCCTCTTCAAGGGGAATTTTTACCCTCTGTAACCTGTATGCCTGTTGCATTATGTGGGGATAGACTGTGGCTCAGTGGAAGACCACATGCCATAAAAGGGGTTCTTTGTCTGGACAACAAGCACTTGTGACTGTGCCTCCTTGTGGACTGGATCAGTTGTCAGCCCTGGTGCAAGGTTATACTCTGAGGCTCAATGGGGGACAGGGCCTCTTTGGCAGCACCAAGATTATGGAATGCCCTCCCTCATGAAACACAATTGGCTTATTCCCCCGTGACATTCAGGAAGGCTGCTAAAAAAACTATTTGTTCCACCAATTTTTTATTTATTTTATTTATTTATTGGGATTTTTACCCCGCCCTCCCTGCAAAACGGACACCAAGCTTTGACTTAACTCATTTATTTATTTGTTTAACGTTTAGACTGCCCTCCCCTGTATACACAAGGCTCAGGGCAGTGAACAACAATAAAACACATTAATAAATTAATAAAAGCAGTTCAGAAAAGTAAATACACAACATTTCCAGATGGCGCTAAAAACTTCCAGAATTGTACCACTGCCTTGTGCGGAATAGAAAACCGGGGGGGGGGTGGATGCCAGATGAGGTGGAGCCCGTCGCTGTCCTCAGCCAAAAACTTAAAAATGACTCTTTGCCTTTTTAAAGTTCTTCTCAGCTGATAAGGTATATTCTGCTGTGTAGCATAAGTGATGATTTTTCTATTTCTGTGTGGCACCTTGGGGACACTGGGCATGGATAGAAATGGGATTGAAATGTCGTAAGTGTTCTACAGGATGAAGGCCTGAGGTTCAGTCTTTGACAAGTATCTCAAGTAGCCAATGTTAGGGAACACCTTTCACTGCTGAGACGTCAGAGAGCTGCTGCCAGGCAGAACTGAGTTAGATGGACCAGTGGTCTGACTTGGTATATGCTGAAGGGAGGATTTGGAGTTCATGCCTTTCCTTCTTGTAACTCCTCCCCCTGTACAGAGTAAAACATAAGGCTCAGTTAGTTGAACAAGGAATCTCTTGCTCTCAGCGTCCTGGGACAGTGCAGGGGGGGGGGAGGGGGGATTGGACTGGAATTTATCAGTAGAATCCTGCAACTGGGTAGGTAATAGAGCCTGTACATCAGGAGTTTGGAGGGGCAAGTGCTTATTGTTAGGCAAAAAAATCTTTCCTGATTGGCCACCCCACCCTAATTGGCCCCCATATATACAGACACAGAGTAGTCAGTGTTAATCCCAGTTCACCGATTATTGGTGACTACTTTTGCTCTCTCTGATAAGCCTTCCCTTCACTCTTATATGCTTTCTGCAGTTCTGATCCTGGTGTTTGGATTAGAAATGTTGATATGCTGCTCTGGGGTGTCAAAACAACAGGTTAAAAACTTGCTCTGCAGGAAGAACTGGGTCTCTAAAGATGGGACTGTTTTGTTGTTTTCTAACCATTTCAGTATGACCACACCATATTTGCGCTACCCTTTTTGGAAAAATAACACCCCAGAACTCAAGATGTACATTTTCTCTTAACTTGTTTTGTTTCATTCCTCCATCACAGGGCACTCATGAATGTCTCCAAGGAAATGCAAAGGCCCTCTCCACCGTTACAGCTATCATTGATGGGACAGGATCTGTAGGTTGGTAGTTAGAGTTTATAGGAGATGGTTTAAGCCTAATCCACTTTTGTTTTGAGACGTGTGAAAACTTCCTGTCCCCCTTTATCAGGGGGACATGATGAGAATTGGCCCATAAACATATGTCTGGGAACCACTTCTATCAGTAGTTAGTGTTAACTCTGTCAAATGGCTGTAGGAACAGAACCTCTTTGCTCAAAGATGCTGGGGGACGGGCAAGGGCATATCTATCAACCTTGCATATTGCGCAGGAGCTTCCCCTGGACTTCTGTCCATCCACTATTAGCCATAGAAGTGTATCTCATATGTATCTGCATCCAACACCCCCTGAACCTAGGTTATCTTCTCTGCCTGTGCACTGGGTACAGATAGATGGAGCCTGGCCTCCAGACTACCTTGATCTGACTTCAGTCTTGGCTACTTGCTCTGCAGGTGCTGCTCTCGGACCCCTGCTGGCAGGGCTGATCTCTCAATCAGGCTGGGACAACGTCTTCTACATGTTGATAACGGCCGACGTACTGGCTTGTCTGGTGAGTTCCTTTTCCAGACTCTGTGTCAATTTCTCGTTTCTCTAGCTGACTGTACATTGTAATCCTAAACAAAGTCACACTCTTCTAGGTTGCTCCAGTGTTGGCATTTTGTTCTCACAACAAGCTCCATTTAAACACACGCCAACTGGATATCAACACAGTTGGTTGGTTTCTCGTACGCATCCCTCGCTCTGTCCTCTTCCCTCCTTTAAGACATGGAAAACTTCGCAGATTGAGCTAGGTTTAGTTCCACATGATGGCTGAATATGGGCTTCTTGATGAACCAGAGTTTATTTGTTGCACACAAACTGGGATTCTGAGCTGCAATTTAGTCCCAGTTTAGAACCCCAGTTTGTATGGAGTAAACAAACTCCAGTTCACCGAGGGATCTGTGTTCAGATATCGTGGCAAATCAAAGCATGATGAAGCTAGGGAGTTCTCCAGATATGAAGAAGAAAGGAAATGGGAGGAGAAGGGGCATGTACAAGCACAACAGCAAATTGGGGTTCACACCCGATCTGAGTTTGTGTGGAGTTTCAGAGGAGCTTGTCATGATGTCTATCTGAAGCCTAAACTAAGGAATAACTCAGTTTCTTTTGATTTAAATGGTTGAGAGAGGCTGAACTCAACACCTGCCCTGCCAAGTCTAGAAGCCCAAGTCTAGAAAGATTACCTTAAGGCTTCTTTGATTTTATTGACTTTATTTTTTATTTTATTTGACTGTTGTTTTTATTTTATTGACTGTTGCTCTAGCAAAAAATAGTTTTGCTACTTAGAAAGAAATGTTGGGTCGACTGTAACCCAAAATATTACACACACACACACACACAGACTCAACAAAAATAGCTATCTCATAAGCTAATTTTGAGTATGTCTTCTCTTTCCAGCTCCTTTCCCGCATGGTGTACAAAGAAATACGAGGATGGTGTGGATGCTACGCAAGAAAGAGAGGGTAGGTATTTACAGAACCCAGAGAGCTTTGAAAGTACTGCTTTGGGAGTTTTTTGTAATGGTTTGTTGGTGTTTTAAAAGCCCCAAATTGCCTCACATTCCAACTCTGACAGCCTGGCTGTCAAGGATTCCATGTCAAATTCCCTTGACATGGGCACTACCTGAGTATATGTGTAAAGAAAACACGTTGTGTGCCACCGTCCTGGATTTACTTGCTAAGTATGGCTCAGAAATTCCTGAATGACCACTTCAGGTGGGACTTTTGTTCTTGGTTGGTCACAGAAACCAGGAATTCAAGAGGCTCAAACAGAAACCATTGTCAAAAATTCCCCGACTGTTTTGGACCATCTGTAGTTAAACAAAATTGGTCACATTTCTGAGTATTTATTCAGAGTTTTCTTCAGAGTTATTCCAACAATGATCCCCATGAGCCAGCTACATTTTTAGGCTTCTTGGAGTCAGGAATTAAGAAGTAGTTTGTCTAGGAGACCAGGGACAAAGTCCTAAAAATGCATGCAAGGTGTGGAGTTCCAGACTTGCCCAGATGTATTGTATCTCCAGCCCTATCAGGAAACAGGAAACAGTATATTTCCACGTCAAGGCAAATTCAGAGTGATATTGAGCAGCCAGTGTACCGAAGAGCCGTGTACAACTTTGGCCATGGTATAACAAACTCAGAAGTCATCCTCTGAACCCCCCTGCAATGGCTCCTTAACCAGTACTAACAATAATCTTCTTCTCAATATGCCTTTGTAGTTTTTGTATGAAACTAACTCACCCAGTAACGTTGGATGCAAAATAGTTCGCGCTGTGAGTATGTGTGTTATGTCTCCCTTCCCGCGGAAATGAGGAAGTCTGCAAATTCAGTGTGTGATTTTTCTCCTGATCTCTCTTCCCTCTGGCATCTGTCAGGTTATCGTGCACCATGAGTCCCAAAGCATGGCAGCCAAACGCACAATTTTTGTGTGTGAAGGAAAACCATTCCCAGTGAAAAGGGAATGGATCTATCAAAACCTACTCAGATGTGTCTGGTTTATTGCACTGGTGTTCTTATGGCCCTAGAGCTAGGGAATGATGTGTTCTGTAGCCCATCCATCTGCCAAAAACTCCCAGTTCCAATGGATCGGACAGCTAATTCTTATTGGATGAACTGGACAGGGCTGTCTCCCCTAAGGATTTGAATCCACAGACACTTTGATACATTCTCTAACAATTTAATCACACCCCTTGTGGGTGGATTGACCAGGTGTTAATTTCCTTCTACTCTCCAACTTGAACTAGGATATAATCTGTATTGCCAGAGAACCACATTTCGTAAGAGCAGCACTAATTTTTCCAAGACCCTTTCCCGAAATGTGTATTGGAACTAGATCTGAGATCAAGCCAGTAGCCTGGTTTTGCTTTAGTTTTCTTGAGTGCCAAACCTTTTTTTTTGGGGGGGGGGGCAATATTTGGCACTGGTGAATGCATTTGTGTAATTTCTGAGACAGCATTCACTTTGTGCTGTCATCCTTTTTCTTCTTTGTCCTCATAGCCCTTTGCACCATTTGCTGTTGGCCCTATTGACCCTAGAGATTTTGTTAGGGAGCGTCTCAGAGTGCCATGACATCACTGACAAAATCTTGATGGTCACCATTGCCAATGAAGTTAGATAGCCATGGGGCCAGTGGTGGTGAGGGCAACAAGAGGTTCTGAGCAGCACTGCAACAATACGAATGTTCAGCAAACCAAACATGTTTTCTAATCCTTTCTCTGGCTCCATCAAATGTGCACTATCCAAGCAGATGTTAAAACTGGACAATATTCAGCACGACCCTTATCTCAGAAGATCCCCAGCACAATCATGCTTGAGGCATAGCCTCCCAAGATGCCCTCTTACCTTTCCTAATACTCCTGGATAATTCCTTCCGGATCTGCTACTAATCAAAACACTTTCCAATGAAGAAATGACACTCCAATCATCACTGTGCAGAGAAATCATTGTTGTGGAATAAACTGTCTTTGCCCTCACTCTTTACCTGGGTGTCAGTGGTCCTGTATCTATAATCATTCCTTACCCGTGTGTGGGTTAACAAATCGGCCAACAAGAGTTGTGATTTTTGTAAGCAAACTGAATGAAGACATTTATTTTAAAGCAGCAGTTCTCCAAATGGGATTCCTGAGAAACAGAGCCAGTTGTCATGGGAGACCAGAGCTCCCATATGGTCCCTCCCAACGAAAGCTCTGATTGGATCAGGATGGCCAGCTCCCTCCCAATCAGAGAGAGGGGAGAGCATTTGCTTCATCCTTGTTTTCTGTTAGCTCTGCTTCTCCCCTCAGCCAATTGGCCAGTCTTTCTTCATTTTGGCAACCATGTACAGAGAGGCTCCAACAGTTCCCTCAACTCAGGAGAGCTCTCCATGTTAACGCTTTTGAAATGTCAACTAAACACTTCAGGGAATGCAAGTCCCCCAAGCATCCCCCCCCCGAAATGTTTAGTGAAAGAAATACATGTGATATTTCCAGCATTCGCATTTTCCTGTCCCTAACACACAGCAGACTGAATGAAAGCATTGAATTTGATGATGGGATGAAATCCCTGAGAGGCATATGACATCTACTTAAGGTCTGAGAACTGCTGTTTTAAAAAGCAGAGCTCTGCCGAACAGTGAAAGCCACTGTCCCCTGATTACTTCGACTCTCCCCGCCCCACCCCAGAGACCCTGGTACACTGTATGTTGATTGTATTTACAGGTCACTAAACTTCACTTTTTGAATAGACATGTTCTGGGGCCAGGAGTCACGGTAAGTTCACATCTCTGCCTCAAGGGCCTGGTGCCACTTGATAGGTCTCCTGCTCTGTGGTGTCTTTGGTACTAGTGGTAAAAGGCCTAATACCCCATTCTTGGACTTCTGCGAGCTCCGCTGAGAACGCCAAGATCTTTGGTGGTGGAGTTTGAGGACATATAAGGTGTCAAAAGAATGTTACAGCTACATTTCTTGGACTTTTGTGCTGTTCTCTTATTTGCCCTTCTGCAGTTCTGTGGTCTGATAAGGGGATGTGAACATCCAAATTTTGACATACTTTTCTTCCTGTCTTCACACTTGAACGCCAACCTTGGAACGCAGGGGTGATTTGGTGGTGGTGTACAGCTTTGGTCAGGATCCCAAGGGCAGGACCCCACATTTGGCAGGGAGATCTCTTGCACAATACCTGTTGAGATAAAGGAGATCAGTGCCAGGAGTATTGCTGGTATTCCCTCTGACTCCCAGATTGCAAACTTGAAAACGACTTAGCACAGAAGTCGAGAAATGGGAATTTAAAAATAGGGGCTGAAATATCGTGGCTTCTGGTATCTTGTGAGTTCTGATCAGGGCACCTGTTTCTGAATACTTGGAAGTTCCAATATCTGATGAAGAAAAGCCATCCCTTAGGGTCATGGTCTTTCGCGCATAATTCAGGGCCCTCAGGAGGGTCCAGAGTCCCATCAGCTGGGTTATGAGCCCCTAGATAATGACTGCTGTTGTTACCTTTCGGAAGGGCCTTGAATTGGACCCAGAAATTAATCATCAGCCAGCAAAGGGGCCCTCAGAATAACTGTAAACACACTCACAAATTTGTTGCAGTTTTCTGAGAGGGAGAGCCTAGGAGGAGGTATCATGAGATAGCCACGGTTCCTGCTGTAACCGAGTTTTGCTCCAGGACTCCCCATCCCAACTGCCATAGCTACTCAAAGAAAGATGAACCTGAATTTAAGAAGATCCCCCCCGCCAAGGTGTTATACACATGAGATGAACAGAGGTGGGCTGCCGTTTGCCTGCCTCTGTGTAGCAACCCGGACCCCTTGGTGAGCCATGTATGAATGAGGGCTGACCCTGCTAAGCTTCTGAGACTGGGCGAGAGCAGTCTAGCCAGGGCCATTCACTTCAAGGCCAATCCCCCCCCCCCCGGGAATTTTTTTTTACTGTTACATTTCTTTAAAACACTTCTATGCTGCCTCTCTACCCAATAGGGTAATCAAGGCAGCAAACATCAAACCATTAAAACATGCCAACTTTAAAACAGCATTGAAAATAAAGTATATATAAAATTATTCAGTAAAGGCATATAAATACACAGTACCAAAACCAGGGAGGACGACCAGTCACTGTTATGGGGGGGGGGGGGGGGATTCAAGCCAAAAAAAAAACATTGGCAGAAGGCAAAGATAGAGGGAGAAAGACCAGTCTCCCAGAGCTTTGGCACCACAACTAAGAAGGCCCTTTCTTGAGTTGCCACCCTTTTAGCCTCAGATGGTGGAGCACCTGAAACAGGCTTCCCAAGGATGACTGGAGTGGATGGATACATTCTTAAAGTATACTGGCCCTAAGCTGTAGAGGGCTTTAAAGGTCAATAGCAGCACCCTGAATTAAGCCCAGAAGTAACTTGGGAGCCAAGTGTAGACAGAACAAGAATGAAGTAATACGGTCCCTGTGACCCACTTTAGTCAGCACTCTGGCTGCAATGTTCTGTACCAACAGTAGCTTCAGGACAGTCTACACGGGCAGCCTAATGTTGAGTGAATTGCAGTAATCTAACCTAGATATTACGAGAGCATGCGTCAAAGCGGCAAGATCACCCCTCCCCCCCAAGAAGGGCTGCAGCTGGCTCAACAGCCAAAGCTGGTGGAAGGCACCCCTGGCCACTGCTGCCACCTGCTTATCCAACAGAAGACCTAGGTCAACAGAAGGCCCCAGCTACAGATCTTCTCTTTTACGGGGAGAGCAAACCCATCCCGAACAGGATATATCCCATTTTCTGGCTTAACCCCCCCCCCAATCCAGTACTACCTCTGTTTTGTTGGGAATAAGTTTGTCTTTTAGCCTTCAGGTGTTCCAAAATTGTCTCCAGGCATCTGTCCACAGTTTCCACAGCCTTCCTAGGATCTGTTGGAAGCATGAGATAGAGCATAACGGTAACTTGTATGCAAATGTAAGAACCCCCTCTTTTATCGTTGGCATATCTGGGAAACAAAAACCCTAGTCTTACATTTGATTAAATACGGTATAACATTCCACCCAGGACATCATAACTAGCTCTTTTACATGATTGACCTGACAAATTCAAAGAGAGTCTACGGCAGGGCTTTTTTTGTAGAAAAAGCCCAGCAGGAACTCATTAGCGTAATAGGCCATACCCAACAGCAGGAACTCATTAGCATATTAGGCCACATCCTGACAGCACAGCTCATTCGCATATTAGGCCACACCCCCATGTTACCAGAAGTGTGGTCATCCAGCCACACCTACCTTTTGCTTCTTATTCTCTTTATCTTGTTTGTTGTCAAAACCCAGGGCTTTTTGCATGTTAGGCCACACACCCCTAATTGTAGCCAATCCTAATGAGTTTCTGCTGTTGGGTGTGGCCTATTATGCTAATGAGTTCCTGCTGGGTGTGGCCAACTTGGGAGCCAGCCGGAACTCCGTTCCTGTGTGTTCCTGCCCAAAAATAGCCCTGGTTTCCGGCATCATTTGAGAAAGTGCCCAAAGATGTTACCTGAATTTACACAAGGAGCTGTAGCTGCCACCTCAGCTTAAGATGTCTTTCAGATCTCTCTCTCTTTCTTGCTAGCTCTTAGCTAAAACCGTGATTGTATGTGGTTAAATGTGATCACTTAAGGCAGTAGACCTTGCTTGCAATCAGATGCACTTTCTGATGATGCTCTCTTTGGTCTTGCAGCTTTAAGGAATTCTGACATGACTCCTGAAGCCGGAGGAGCCTGAAGACACAACGGGGGCGAGCTTTGCAGGGAGGGGTCAGGTTTTGTCGGCCCTCATAACTCCACAGTGGGAGAAATGAACAAAGCTGAAACGGAGTGGATGCCCGAAACAAACAGGACTCTCTTGGCAACACCAGCCGAGCCCGTCACCAGCTGCACTTGTTTTTAAACTGATGGAAGGGAACATAACCGAGTGTCTACACAATCAAAGGCGAAAAGGAATGGATGTTTGGGGGATCCATGCTGCATCTTGAGGCCTCTGTTTTGTAGCAACTGCAGGTTGCACTTCTTTTTGTTATTTTTGTATTATTATTAAAATTGGTGCTGAGCCAGTGAAGCTTGGGTACTTCTTTTCTGTGTGCGAGCAATGAAGCATAGTGTCCCCACGGCAGGAGCCTTTCGTCTTATAAGCACTGGACGGCAGTCACTGGGGTCTGGAGTTGGGGGGCGCTCAGTGCTACAGAAGCAGCGGCCATTTCCAAAAGGAGCTTCAGGCCCCCAATCTGGTTATCCCATGGGAGCTTTCAGTGACTTTAACCTCAAGCCTGGCATTTTGAGTTCAGGATTCATTGATGTAGGCAGGTGGGGAAAGATTATGGAAATAGGGGGTTAGTTTTGTTTGGAAAGAAACTAACTTTACCTGCTGAGCGGTCGGGTTAGAACGGATAAAAGGAAGTACTTCTTCACCCAAAGAGTGATTAACACTTGGAATTCACTGCCACAGGAAGTGGTGGCGGCTACAAGCATGGACGGCTTCAAAAGGGAATTAGATAAGCATATGGAGCAGAGGTCCATCAGTGGCTATTAGTTACAAGGTATAGATAGGGACTCTGGGGCAAGTGATGCTCTGTCATCTTGGTGCTTGGGGGGGGGGGTCAACAGTGGGAAGGCTTCTAATGTCCTGGCCCCACTGGTGGACCTCCTGATGGCACTGGTATTTCTGGCCACTGTGATACAGAGTGTTGGACTGGATGGGCCTTTGGCCTGAACCAACATTGGCATCTTTTATGTTCTTATGTTCTTAACTGCCCCCAGTTTGGCATTACTGAGCTTATTGCGATCCAAGCTAAAATCCTTCCTTGAATTACATCTCATAAATTAGCATGGCCCCATTCCAAGGCCCCGCTCCCTTCCCATTTCCCCAACTCACCTTCCAGAAGCAGCAGGAGAAAGTATGCATAGCTGGATTTATGCACAAACTGAGGAAGCTATCATTCAGGGTCTCAGATTGAATGTGGGGGGCTCCTCAATGCTCCCTCTAAGCTGTGGAGTCTTGTGAGCAAAAATTCTCCTTTGTGAGCTACGGGCTTTAAAGTTGTGAGCAAGTGATTTGGCTACTGCATAAATTAATTTGCTCTGGAGCCATCCTGAGCTAAGACAAAACTCTGTGAGCTGGAGGCTAAAAACTGAGCTAGCTCACACTAACTCAGCTTAGAGGGAACACTGCTCTTAATATATAAACATTACTAAATCAACACTTTTTTGTGTGTAATGCGATGGGGCTTTTAGAACTTGTCATGGGGTAGGGCCAGGGTCTGCAACACGGTGCCCAGGGGCATTACAGTGCCCGTCAAGTGTTTTTAGAAACTGGGTGGGACCAGATGGGACTTTTGCCCAGCAGGGTTTCTGATTGGTCACTGTAGGTCTGATTGGCTGTGCAGCTTTCTGAGAACTGCTTTAGCAGCAGCTGCCATCACAACACAAGGATATTCACTGTGTGACTGTAGGCGTGCTGTGTATATATGCACAAAAATATTTTAAAACAACATGTTTACATTAAAAGACATCCAGTTATACTGAGCTTCTGCCTGAGAAGATTTACTATTGGAATTATGCATCACTTAACTCCCCGACGTTTTGTGGTTGGCTCCCTCACCTGTGGCAGCCATTTTGTGGTTGTCCCCATCACCCCTGTGTCAGAATCCCCCAAAAGTTGGGGAGCTCAGTTTAAGGTCTCGGCATGTCCAGAAGGTACGGGGGTTCAAAGGGGAAGCTGGAATTTCAGTAGATCCTACAGCCTCACAAACAGGAACTTCCCAGCACATATATCCTTGGAAACTGCAGTTTGCCATGATTTCTGAGACTTTCCTAAGGATCTGGGGGAAGCTTCAGATTATGGTGATCTAGGCAGGCTATTTCAGGAGAGCTACTTCCAGACTGAGACAGGGGAATGCTTCCCACCACAAATATTTTTCAGAGACATTTTTTGTACAGTTTGATTAATCCTAAATTGATGTGATTTTTTTGTGCTTGACCACTAGCCAGGAAAAAACCAGATGTTTTACCTATATTGCATGGCAAAGTATTAATGCATCAATTCTAAGACATTCTCTTAAAAGGGACAGTTTTATCATGGAAAGTTGTTAACAGAGTATTTAGGGAAGGGGGTTTGCATCCACAAAAGGAGGTATCTGATATGCATTAGTCTTGCATGCCTCTGTGTCCAGTATGTCCTTTGTAACGTCTCCCACTGGAAGGTGTGTGTACGTTCTGGAGAAATGGAGCCCAGTGTGGGGCCAACTCTACTATTTCCTTCGGGTGAAGAGCCTAGGAGGCTAATGAAAAAGGCACATGAAAGGGCTGGTCTCACCTGTTTGCAATTACAGCTCCAGTAAAGAGTTCTTTGTCCATTAGGGCCTAATTCAGGCAGCAAAAGAGCGAAAGCCACCCACCTTCAAAGCACCAGGCCCAGCCTGTGTATTTAATCTGTTTTCTTCACAGCTCACAAAAATGAGGAACAGAACAGAGCTGCTTCTCAGCACATACAAGAAGCCCAACTAATATTTCTCTTCACCTCTAGTAACCTCCATATAAACTACGTTTTCACGGTGGGAAGGAGGTGGGACTGTCAAATAAGCTACTCCCTGTGATAACTTTTTTTTTTAATTAAAATATTTACATGCCGCTTTTTCATAGAATTATGTCCAACGTGGCTCACAGCACAACCCCACTTCCCAAAATAAAACCATGGAGACACTAATAAATATTAATTTTTAAAAATTAAGTGGAAAAGTGTAAGAGTCCAGTAGCACCTTAAAGACTAACAAAATCTGTGATAGGGTATGAGCTTTCATGAGTCACTGCTCACTTCGTCAGATACAGCTAGAATGGGAGTCCATCGGTCCTATCTATTGGAAAGTGGAATGATTTCAGTTGCCAAATGACATTTATTTATTATTTATTTATAGACCGCTCTGACCCGAAGGTCTCAGAGCGGTTTACAGGCAGGTTGCAAGTGCAAATTTACTCCTAATCTACGGCCACATAGTACAGGGGGTGGGGCTACCTACCGGCACCCAGATGGTAGGCTAGTTGTTCTTCTGGCTTTCGGCTTTCTTTTTCCTTCAGGCGGCCCATTTTGGAGTCGCGTCCCACTTTCAGGAGCAGGTCCTCCAGCTTGTGGTCTCCTGGCGCGTGGCCCCGTGTCAGTCTCGGCCCGGCCTATGTCCGCATTCAGCTCCGCCGTGCCTGCGCCTCCACGTCACCGCGCTCCTCCGTGACTCCATGTCCACCTCTGCTGGGTCTCGCCGCACGATGTTGCTCTCTACTGGCCACCAGGGATTGTCTCGCCGCCATTCCACCGCCATTGCCGCCATCGTTGCCGCCGCTGATGTCTCCACCACACCACACACGGAGGAGGGTGCCCCCTACCCTCTAAGGGCAGGTACCCATTTATCTACTTGCTCCATTTTAGCAGGCAAATGCTCCACATTAGCAGGCAAACAACAACAACAATTTATGGATGGATGAATATGATAGTTCAAATCCCTTCTCAGATAAAAACGTCGTTAATTGATGTCTGGAGACCCATAGTGATAGGGCTAAGGTTTAGGGCCACTGAGAGGGTCTTTGTATGGGTCCCATCAAATGTACCGCAGAGAGAGAGTGGACTCTTACAGCAGAACTTCTTCAGATACCGAAATACTACCAGATACATAGAGTCAAGGTGGACTTTCGTGGACTTAGGGCCCAAACCACACAGAACAATATAAAATGGAAAACAGCTCTTTGTATGAGGCCTGGGAATATACTGGCAGTCACTGGTCAGGGTGAGTCCTAGCCAATGGCCAGTAGAGGCTGCCCCCCTGGCCCCCATCCTTGTGGATCCACAACTGGCCACAGCCTAGTGTTGCCAGGCCAGGCCTAGCAACCAACAGGAGCCCCGATGGGGCAGAGACCTGGGGGGTGGATCAGCAATGGTATGAAGTTATATAAGCCCTCTACGGAACTCTCTAGAGTTTCTGGAAATCCCTAGAGAGGCATGACATCATTTCTGGGTTTTCCTGGAAGTGATGTCACTCCATTGCCAATAGCAATTTGAAAAATAATATTTTTTCCTGCCAGCTGCTGGAATGCTGGGGAGAAAGGCCTGCTGGGGGTGGCCTATCTCCCACCCCTAGTGGGCATATGGCAATCTTACCACAACCTGGCCCCCAGTGGAAGCAGGAAAAGAAGGGAAAGGGCAAGTTCTGTTGCCACTGCTTGTACCTGTCCTATTCAGAGCGGAGGATGCCGGCTCATAACAATGGCCACTCACACCCACCCCACTTGGCAGTAGCCACTTGTGCCTGCTCTGTCCAGGCTACAGGCAGCTGGCTTCCAGCAAGAGCTCCCACCTGCCTCGCAGGGGGTGAAGGCTGCCCCTTGCTTGGCCCCGGCAGGGGGACCTGGTGAGGGGTGGCGGTGATTTTGTGGTCCCATTCTGGACTTTAGCTCAAAGGCCCAGAATCATTGTACATGGTACATGGTACATGGTACATGTTCATCGTAGCAAGTCCCTGTTCTGTTCACTCCATTTCGAGCCAGCTGAAGTTTCCAGAATCTTCAAAGGTGTTCCCATGCACAGTCCATTACAGTAGTCTAGTCTGGATAATACCAAGGCACATGTAGGTTGGCTGAGAGGGATGTGCCACTGCAGACCGGAAGGTCGGTAGTTCAGCAGTTCGAAACCTGAGTGCCGCATGACCGAGTGAGCTCCTGTCTCTGGCCCCAGCTCCTGCCAACCTAGCAGTTTGAAAGCAAGAAATTGCAAGTAGATAAATAGGTACCGCTTTGGTGGGGAGGTAACAGCGTTCCGTGCACCTCGGCGTCTAGTCATGTCGGGCACATGACTCCAGAAATGTCTTCGGACAGCTCTGGCTCTTCGGCTTGGAGACTGAGATGAGCACCGCCCCCTAGAGTCAGATTCGACTGGCTTTTGAGCAAGGGAAACCTTTACCTTATGCTTAGTTATGTTTACATTATTGTTTTATATGCACTGTTGTAACCCGCCTGGAGC